TTGTGCTCCGAGCACAACAAATGCTCAAAAAAGATGCATGACTGTTTGAGAATCATGGCCAAAAATCTTGTGGATCTCTTCTTGGCATAGAAAAACTTACCTCCTCTGAATTTTCTAGAAAATGACAGCCAATGAGATTGTTCTCGTATTCCCTTTTCACTATTTCTCTACACGATCGAGTGCTCCCTAAAGTAATCACAAGACGCTCAAATTTTGCATACGCGGGAGGTTCAGGTGTCTTACCATTCCCATTGAGGCTTTGTAAATCTGAGTGGCTATTTCCAGACGTTGAAGCCGGATCGTCATTTCCTGTCAAGCTGTAGATCCCAGGAGCTCTGCTTTCTGTAGAGACAGCGTCTACAGTATTCCCGTAAGGTGCTGATTTCAACAAGTTTCGCTCTCCACCAAATATTGCTTCATTCCGTACAAGATAAAGATTTCGCTCTTGTAGCACTAAGACGCCATCTACAAGAAGTCCATTCGTTTGGATACGAAAATACATCTAATTTAGATGAAGGTTGTGGGAAAGTTAACATACCTTTTGTACTGACCATTTTGGTGATGTCAGCTCCCGCATCGAGATGGATAGTACGGGCATAAATGTCGTTGTCAAAAACTTCGATGCGACTTCCATTTGCTGTAAAGCAAGATAGCACCAGAAAAATATATTACGTTGCTGCATAAGTTCTGTCCTATAATAATCTTTGAATTCAAATTATCAAAACTTCTTTCAAAAGAACATTGTTCCATAATCTTAGTTCCTATGTGTTAAACATTCCTTTGGCTATCAGTAACATACCAGTACTTGCGTGAAACACTGTTAGAGAAGAAGCAAGAACTCAAAAACTTTACAGCGTTCTTCCACAGACCTGTCTTTTTTGGCATGGCAAGGCTCCCTTATGAGATTTGACAGCTTCAAACGCAAGGTAAAAAAATGGGACAGAACCTATGCCAGCAGCCTAGTATAATTCAGTATTGGATGATTTGTTATAAGATTGCGCAATTCAATTTTTCTTACACATAATTGATTGAGAAAAAAGTTATAAATTTCTAAAAGTTCAGTTCAGTTTTGTTACCAAAGAAAGCTCATGACCTCCACTGTTAAGAGCATCGATAAAAAAATAGTTTCAATGAATAAATCAATGATTCAATAAAAGCTGACCTCTTACGATTGCGGTCGCTTAGCACTTCATGAAACAACTTACTGTTAGATGTTTTGGTCGTTCAAAGGCAGTTCATTGACATCATAAACTCGAATAATGTCCGAAAATC